GCATGTTCTGATTTATTAATAGGATTATGTTGCTTGCAGTTTTTGTCCTTGTTTGACGATCATGTTAGGATGTGGCTGCTATTTTTAAGATGAAAATTGCCGGTCAATTTGATCTGGTTATTGTTCACTGATGATGAAATGAGGGTATGATGTTGAAGGAAATGAAACATGCCAGTGCCTAAGGGATATTCTTACTTTTCAGCGTCCAAACAGTTTGGAAGACATAAATCCTTGCACCTAAACTTAAATTTAGCTCAGTGACACAGATGAGATTGAGTATGCTGTAAAACAACTATTGTTCACCCACGCTCATAGTGATGACACCAGCTGTTCTGGTTGTCTGATAGAACCCCTATCAAGGTCAAGGTTTCAGTATCCCTAGAAACCGTCTTTAAACCTTTGAAGGTTTGGCTGCCTTGACCTTTCATTGAATAGAGGTAGACCATAAACTCCTTATTTATGTTTTAATTTTCATTATCGATTTTTTAAAAGAATTTTTTAACCTACAAATGGATTTAAACTTTCAAAAATATGTTGTGCTCATTAAAAAATAGTAGATGGAACAATAAAAATTAGATGAAATATATTTTTTTAATTTAATGGTCTTTTTTTTCCTTTTTTCTTTACATTGCTAACATGAAATTTTGGGTCAGCAGATAAATGGACCAAGTAATTAAGAAATGAAAACGCAGTATAATGTGTCTGAGTGGGCTATTCATGCTTCACTTCGGCATGGTATCTCAGTGGGCTAGCACTATAAAACCAAGTAGTAGTTTTTAGTAGTAGTGCTAGTACAAGCAGCCGCACATACACATAGACAACGCATGCACGTCGTCATATGAGCGAAATATTCTCAAGCACAACGTTAAACCCAATTTCACCTCACCTCACCTCACCTGTGACATCAGAGCTGTTCGCATGCATGATGTCATGTTTATGATGTCATCGTGTTACTGTATTATTCAGTGCTCCATGATTGATGTTTGCGTGATGCATTGTAACATTTTTATCCACCCACAATACATGAATCATCAATGTCATGGCACCTGGGATTGTCAGATCAGGTTAACCAGTGTTCCAACTTGGCAACTGACAAGGTCATTGTGGTTCAGTGTTATGGACTTCATTTAACGGACTGAGAGTTTGTGAATAAACAGATCTACACAATTATTTTGAAGATGTGAGGTTTGCTGAAATGGAGTTTAACGTCGTACTTGAGAATATTTCGCTCATATGACGATGTGCATGCATGTGTATGTTTGGCTGCTTGTACTAGCTCAGACATTAGCTGGTTTTAAAGTGCTAACTCACTGAGATACCATGCCGCAGTTAAGCATGAATAGCCCAATCAGACACATTATACTGACTCCAAGCCGACTAGTCCTTGTTGTACCCATTAATGCCGAGCGCCAGGCAGGGACCAACAAGTACCATATTTTAACATTTTTTGGTATGACGCGAACGGGGATCGAACCCGCGATCTTCCACTCTCCAGGTGGATGATCTAACCACTACACCACGGAGGCGGTTTATTTTTTAAGAAGTATTTGTTTGTTTAAAGAATGATTTTAATGATGTTCATTTTGCAGGGTATCAACTTTATCATTGTATTTGTATTTGTTGTATGAAACATGAGCACTCCTACCAACTTCTAGACCCAGTGATAAGAAATCTTTACAAGCACCCAATACTCCCCAAAATTAGCAAGACAATCCATGTTATTTTGCCCACATGTTTCATGGATTTTTTATTTAAGTCTGTTTTGATTTAAGTTCAGTTTAAATTTAACTTGTGTATATTGTTTATGAGCTCCCCAACCTATCTGATCCACCTTTTAGCTGTAATAAGAAAAAGATGCACCTAAATGTATGTGCAACATAATCTCACTAACCCTTCAAGAGTTTGCCATCAGTTACAGTGTTTTATCATATTTTAAAGGACTTTATTTCATGGATATCTGCTTTTGTAATCAACAATTGTTTTCCTGGTCCAGACTTTGATTATTAACATGTGATATGGCTGGAATATTGGTGGATATTTGTGATTCTAACTGTTGGTTAGGATTTTTTTTCTGTTGGTAGTTTTAGGTTCCCAATTATAAGTAGAATGTGTGAAGCCCATTGAGTCCCCTGTTCATGTTGTGTGAATATTACATGTGGGGTCAGAAGATATATACATGACATGTTAATACATGTTCAGATATGTATATTACATTTTTGTGTTACTTGATTTTGTGTGATTTTTTGCAAGTTTCATGTGTCCCATGCGCAAACATACTGTCAACCAGTTTTTGTTTAACTCTAATTTATTTCTGGATGAGGGGGTGGGTAGCCAAGTGGTTAGAGCGTTCGCTCATCTCCACATGGGTACAATGTGTGAAGCCAATTTCTGGTGTCCCCCACCATGATATTGCTGTAATATTGCTAAAAGTGGTGTAAAACCCAAACTCACTCACTCACTATTTCTGGATAATCTCACATCATTTCACATCACATCCCCAAAGGTTCGTGTGGACTTGGTGGGACTTCACTATTGACATGTGGGGTGTTTCACGGTGTATTATGGGAGATGAATGTCACATCTGTGCTGGACTTGTGTTTCAGGATGACATTCGCCAGACCAAAAAAATGAAGAAGAAGAAACGTCCCGTGAAGAGGGACCCAGTTCGCCTTAAAGCTCTCCGAAAAAAGTTCATTGACTCTTCCAAGAAGTACTTCGGTGTCCCTTATGCTCGGAAATATTGGCCCAAAGATGGTGAGCTGCTATACAAACATGAACCATTACCCATGGTCCGTGTGCTTTTGGTACATAACCATTTGTAATAACAGGTTGGATTATCTGAGTCTGGTTGGAGTTGGCATATTTTAATTTTAGACAACAGACACAGATAATCCATTTAAATAATCTCATTAAAATTACATCTGAATGCTTGAGACACAAAACTTTGAAAATATTCATATTAAAAGGACCTTTAACACATTTTGCCTGACCCTTTCTGGTCAGAAAGCAGCTTTCTTGAGGTTTCTGGTACTCGTTTCAAACTTCATATTTATTAGAAATTTGAAAACTGAATGAAAGATAAGGAATTGAATATTGGAATGTCTAACAAATAGCTAATATTGTATGGCAGTACTTGCTGTGGGGTAGAGAAAGTCTCATGTTTTTTAGTATTGTTTTTCCCCTATAGTTAAAACGTTTTAGATTTAATTACTAGTTTTACATACATATCTGTGATATTCTAGTTGTTTTAATGTCCTTTGTTGGCAGGTTTTATATAATATACATATATTTCATTTCAATATCAAATGTTGAATGGCTGAAATATTGCCGATGTGACGTTGAATATTAACTCACTCACTCACTCACTCACTCATGTTTTTTAAATGTTTATCCCACGGAAGTGAGACAGATGATGATTTTGGCAAAATCAATCATTCAGCCCAGAAAAAGACAAGTTATAACATTTTCCATGTTACATGATAAGGTAACTCATTCTGACTGTCACTTTCCTGCTCTGGCAAACAACATAATGATTGGTGGTATGAAAGGTTGATTCATGTAACCCATAATGGGATGTCCTCAAATCTTGTAGCAGGAGATAGAACTAAGATCTGGTTTTAACAAGATTGATCAGGTTTCATCTGGATTGATTATGTGTCATGGCTGGCTGAAGTAGTGTGTAATTATACCCTGATAGTGGGTCGTGTTCACACTGTCGGCCATGGAGATTTGTTATTTGTTACACACTTAGAGCTACATTTCCTAAACAACCAAGCCATGAAAACATTTTCATGTGAAAAGGAGTTTCTAGATACTTTCGAGGAGCAGGGCATAGATTTTCGAAGCTCTCTTAGTGCTAAGATAGTTGTAAGTGCCATACATTAGCATTAACTTAAGGCTATCTTAGCACTAAGAGAGAGCTTAAAAAATCTAGGCCCTGTTCTTCAGTAGTCAGTAATAGCCACTGAGCATTTGCACTTGAAGTCCAAAGGCTCCAGCAGATGACAATATTAACAGCTTCTAGATTTCAGGTGCTTTGTAGAAAACAACCTTAGCGCTACAACTGTCTTAAGTCTGTGTTAAGGTGTGGGAGTTGTGATCACCTTAGCTCTTAGATCGGTTTGAACTCAACACAAATGAAATTAGCAGAATGACAGGAGGTGTGCTCATATGAGTACAGATTTTCTTCTCAACACTTCCATGTTTTGGACTTGTAGTGAGTGAGTGAGTTTAGTTTGACGCCACTTTTAGCAATATTCCAGCAATATCACGGTGGGTGACACCAGAAATGGGCTTCACACAATGTGCCCATGTGGGGAATCAAACCTGGGTCTTCAGTGTGACGAGCTAATGCCTTAACCACTAGGCTACCCCACCGCCCCTTTGGACTTGTAATATTACTCAGTGTAGAGTGAAGGTTCACTATGTCAAAGGGGCTGATTTTATTGATTTTTAGGAAGCCTTTTGCTTATACGATAATTTGAATGCTAGTAAATGTATGACTGGAAACATTAATCTCGACACACAGACTTTATCAGTGAATTGGAGTGAGGACATTTATAAGCATTTATCAACTTTTGTTACTCCCACTCAGTGAGGGAGTGAGAGAGTTTAGCTTTACGCCGCAACTCAGCAATATTCCAGCTATATGGCGGCGGTCTGAAAATAATCGAGTCTGGACCAGACAATCCAGTGATCACCAACATGTGCATTGATCTGCGCAATTGGGATACGATGACATGTGTCAACCAAGTCAGCGATCCTGACCACCCAATCCCGTTAGTTGCCTCTTACGACAAGCACGGGTTACTGAAGATCAGTATTCTAACCCGGACCTTCACGGGTCCCCAATCAGTAAACAATCCATGTGTCTGTCCTCCAGCCCCAGAGTATCAGTCTCCCTTGTTCCTGGACTGCTGTGGGCTGGTCCGACAGGTGCTCCGGGACATGCGGAAAGACTTAGGCTTCAAAATTGGACCATGGAATCAGGCCTACATGTACGACACTCTGCCTATCAACCTGAAGGAGGAACAGATGAAACCAGGGGACCTCGTCTTCATGTCCGGAATCTACACCAACCCAAAATGTAAGAGCAGTCAGTGTTATGGAATGGGAGTTACGATCACCTTACCACTAAGAACAATGACACCAAGGGATTCCAGGGTAGAAAGATCTTTAGTAGTGAGTGAGTTTTGTTTTATGCCACTTTTAGCAATATTCCAGCAATATCACAGTGAGAACACCAGAAATGGGCTTCACACATTGTACCCATGTGGGGAATCAAACCTGGGTCTTCAATGTGATGAGCAAACGCTCTAACCACTAGGCTACCCCACTACCCGATCTTTAGTAAGCTATACTTGCTGCATAAGATGACTACGATGGGTCAGGTGGTCAGACTCAGTGACTTGGCTCATTTGTGTCATTGTATCCTGATGCTGTTGAACTTTCCCCATTGTTCATTACACCATTTTCTAAATGCCACTCAAAGACACTCGTGAAAATGTGGGTTAGAATGGATCATCAGTAACCCAATCATGTCGTAAAAGGGGACTAACATGATCAGGTGGTCAGACTCACTGACTTGGTTGACACATATCATCGTAGATCAATGCTTGTGCTGTTGATCACTGGATTGTCTGGTCCAGACTCAATTATTTACAGACCAATGCCATATAGCTGGAATATTGCTGAGTGTGGCATAAAACTAAACTCACTCACACACCCACTCACTCAAAGAAGTCATGCTGTCAGTTACCTTTTCACATGGCCCAGCCCCTATTAATGTAAGGCTGCCATGTGACAACTGTGATACTGCTGACTGCAGTGTTAAACAGCTTTCCACTCACTCAAAGTTTGTCTGGTGCTGAAGGTCTCTATCTGGTGAATTTTTCTATCCAGAGTTGTGTCCCTTAGAATCAAGGATCTGCTGATCCTGGGTTTGATTCATCTGGATCAGTGATCTTGTACCTGTGACCACACTTTTGAATTTTGCCAAATTGGTAAATGTTTGCTACCTGTGTAACGTTTGACCCTATCTGAAGCTGGCATACTTCATGTCACTTAAACAAATGTTCAGCTAAAGCCAGTAGTGTACCTGCCATTAGGCACGTAAGGCACGTGCCCACACCTAATTGTTTCGTCAATTTTGTTTTACATGTGGTATGTTATGGATTTATTATTTTGAGAGTAGTCTCCCTTGCTATGAAAGGTGGATAACTCTCATGCTACTTTGATGCCAACATGGCGTGTAGCACTTCAAGGACACTTGACAAGTATTGAAGATTTCATCTGTGAAAGATGATACAAGTGAGCTTGCTCCTCAGCCAGAGGAAAAGAAAGTATCCATTACAGAACTATTTTGACATTGCTTAAGTATGTTATAAAATATTAGTTAGAATGCTAACTTTATCAGTTCAATTTCATCAATTTCCCTATGAAAAGTTTGAAATACACTTTTTCAGGAAAATTTAGCAAGAAATGCTGTCTTGAGCAACCATTTAAAAAACATATTGATGGGGAGGGTGATGCGTACACTTAATTTATTTCCTGGGTACGCCCTTGAAAGCAGCATTAAACCCATCTCCCTCACTCACCCACATCTTCTCTAGTGTCTGCATCTGAAATACCTCAGCACAAAAGTAGTTTGCATGAGCATAACATTTTGATAATTTATATAAAAAAACAGCTTGAAAATCTGTTTTGGGAAATACATTGCATCTGAGATAGATTACAATCCTGAAGTCATAGGAAGCTCCTTGTATGTCCGATGGTGTTGCAGGAGTTATATGTACTAATGATTGGTTTCTTAGCCAAGAAGCAGCGCCACAACATGACTCATGTGGAGATCTGGCTCGGGGGAGGGTGAGAAGACCATCGGCGCCCGCTGGAACAATGGCAAGGTGAAGGTGTTTGACAGCTACAGGTTCTCAGCCAAAAGCTTCCACAGTGAGAGGTACTACTTCAAGTCAATAGACACCTGGCTCATGGGTATCTGCAAGAGGTTAGTAAGGAATTGATGCATTCAAATTATATAAAGATCTTATGCAATATTTTTTTTAAACTCAAGAACAAAAGAGAACCTCTCAGACTAACTGACTAGTGTCTATTTATATCCCCACATATCATTTGTGTATCATGTCTTGTTTAGTATTCTCCAGGTGTGTTTTGTTCATTTGGTGTATTGTGAGAAAAATTATGTGGGGCTGATTAGAATTATTGGGATCATAGTCACCAACCTTTTAAACCCTCTTGAGAACATGTCAGTATGGTTCAGCAGTCTTCGCACAAATCAAGCTATTGTCTTCAGCCATGTTTTTAAAGTTGAAAATATAAATTTTAAACTTATCCTATCTCATGTCTTGTACTCTCTCATGATCACTTTCTATTTTATCAAATGTTGTGCATTGTTATAATGCAGATGTGACTTAGAATTGTCGAGCAACATGTAACATTGTTGCCTCTTAACATGGCATCACAGACTTCTGTCAGCGGTGGACTATCATGCCAGTTTCAAAACTGAGAGAGAAAAACAACTAGCATGAATTTGTTATCAATTTGCCAAAAGCAATATTTTTTCAATATTGATCTTTATCTGACATATGAGCTATTCAACTGATTACAACATAGAGAGAAAGTATAGTACCATTCATGAAGACCCGAGAAGATCCGGGTTAGAATTCATCTTCAGTAACCCATGCTTGTCGTAAGAGGCGACTAACGAGATCGGGTGGTCAGACTCGCTGATTTGGTTGACACATGTCATCGGTTCCCAGTTGCGCAGATCAATGTTCATGCTATTGATCACTGGATTGTCTGGTCCAGGCTTGATTATTTACAGACCGCTGCCATATAGCTGGAATATTGCTGAGTGCGGTGCAAAACTAAACTCACTCACTCACTCACTCACCATTCATGACATTTAATTGGATGGCCATGTTATAGTTCAACATGAAGTAAACATTATGTATTCAGATATGAACAGATATAAGTATATGATATTTCATTATGAAACTTTGTGTTTGTGTCAAAAACAAGCTGAACTTGTGCCTTAGGCTGTTACCATGGCAACAAATAGGACTAAACTCAAATACACCTTGCTTTCATTATCACAGCATAACCATTGTTAGGCCATTGTGATCATTTCCAAATCATATATCTGTCATTTAAATATATGATGTAAATTACATGTATTTTCCATAAGTCTTTATTTCCATATTACCACAATACTGAAATTGTGACGCTTTTCTGGATTTTCTCAATACATATTTATGAGAACCATTATCTGAGAAACATTAACATCATTATCTAATTGAGATATACTTGTGCAAGGTATCATGTGAATTGGGAAGAAATACCACAAACCACAGTTTACATGTGTCACCCAAACCAGGCTACATCCTTGCAGTGGGTTTAATCAATTCTTTTAGCTTACAGTTTGTGTATTTAGTCATGTTCCTGTGAACTTGTGAAGTCTGAGGTAGAAAAATGTTTCCGCCTTTCTACAAATACATTTTTTTATATAGTCATTGTCTTGAAACAGTTGTTGAACATTTGCATAACTTAATGCCTAAAGTGTGTTTCACCTTTCTTTTTTCCCATTTGACAGTTATATCAAATCAGTTTGTTTTAATACTAGTCTTTGGAACAGTTCAGCTTACGATACTTCCCACTTTACACATGCGTCATTGGAAATATTTGGTCAGAATGCATTCCAATTGTACTTTGTTTCATTGTCTTGCTCATTATTGTTGTTCCGCTCTTTTAGTCATATCCAAGGTCAATAACTTTGCACCCCTTCGAACCTTGTCTTTGGTGTGAACAGCTACTGACAGACATCGGTGGTATGAACATAGGTTTCATCTGGAAAGTTATGGCTGATGCATGTCATTGTGTCCTCGTTGTGTAGATTACTGCTCATGCCATCAATCACTGCATTGAGTGAGTGAGTGAGTGAGTGAGTTTAGTTTTACGCCGCACTCAGCAATATTATATGGCGGCGGTCTGTAAATAATCCAGTCTTGACCAGACAGTCCAGTGATCAACAGCATGAACATCGATCTATGCAATTGGGATATGATGACATGTGTCAACCCAGTCGGCGAGCCTGACCACCCGATCCTGTTAGTCACCTCGTACGACAAGCATGGGTTACTGAAGATCAATTCTCACCCGGACCTTCACGGCTGCAATCACTGCATTGTCTGGTCCAGACTGCATTCTTCACAGACAGCCATGATATAGCTGAAATATTGTTGTGTGCAGCTTTTACCAACAAACATTCATCAATATTTAACTCACTTTTTTGTCTTATTCCAGTTATTGTCCCCAACATCCATGGAAACGTACAAAATACAAACCAAGCAAGAAATCTGTCTTCCATCCTGCCTCAAGTTCTTCCACTCCAGAACAACAGGATGAAGCTGCTAGTGGGGATGATGATGCTGACAGACCAAGTACATGTGTCCTTGACCTTGGTGACAGTCATTCACCCTCAGAGTGCTCTGCCAATCAACAGAACCTGGAGAGAGAAATCATTGAGGTGGATTCAGAAACTGTCACTCTTGCATCTGTAGCGGAAGGATCTGACAGAGAATTTGAAAGTGATTCCGAACTTCCAGATGAGGTATCAGGTTATCTTTCCTGTAGCAGCGATGGGGAATCAACAGAAAAAACACAGGATGACCACTGGGCTTTTTATGATCAACTGGATTGTCCAGAGAGTTTCAGTCCTTCCCTTGCAGAATATTCAATGGCTGATTCTTATTCTGAACCAAACACTGATATCCACACTATCCACAGTTCAAGGAGTTCTGCCACTTTGCAGTTAGAACCTCAGAAACCAAATCCTTCTCACAGAAGCAACTCTCTCCCTGAATTCCATGGCAATGACGAAGAAGACCACACCAGTGGAATTACTCCATTTGGTGGCATCAACACTGCCTGGGACTCAAGTCAGTTTGACTTTTTAGAATCTGGTCAGGGACCAGAAAATGTCACAGATTATGAAGGTCATATACAACAGAATGGACAAGAATTGCTGCCTCTGCTCGCTGATGTCACCCAATTAGAATCTCACATAGTGGACACTCATTTTGTAAACTGTGACCTCATGAGTGTATCTGATAGTGCCTCAACATTAGACCTTTATTTTGATCCTTGTTATTGTATAGCTGAATGTGATTCTGAGACCTGTGACTACACTGCTGAACATTTGGATGATATGTCATCAACTTTATATATTCCCAAAGTCAATATTCTTGAAGATGGAGATAAATGTAATGAATTTGAAACCATTGACCATCTTTCTGATTCAAGTTCTGAGTTTGACTTTCCTCTTGCTGAAGGTAGATCTGATATCTCAGAACCTCTAGACATCAGAGATGCTTCAGACATCCATGAACACCATTCAATGGACAAACGTGTTGTATCCTCTTCTGAAATCCCTCCTGAGAACACAAATCCAGATGTGTCTGATGTCTGGCAGACTCCACCTACTGATGCAGACGGACATCAGTCATCTGACAACTCTGGACAAAATGGTGCCTCAGCCAATCAGTCAGGTATGATTTTATGTTTGATGATAATTCCTGTTATTTTCAAAATTATTAATGGTGAATCACATATTTTTACTACCAGACAAGAGTATCAATCAGAGTCATACTCAAATTAAAAAGATCAGGTGGTACCAAAAATGCTTTGATTACTGTTATACCAGACTAATGCTTATAAGAATACCATCAGCGAGAGAGCATTCAATCATGACTGATTTGAACATTTTATGAAAACAATCTTGTACAGCCCACAGATGCACATGAAAGTATCATGATACATATCTGAGTGTGTGAGTGAGTGTGTGAATTTAGTTTTACGCTGCACTCAGCAATATTCCAGCTATATGACAGCGGTCAGTAAACAATCAAGCCTGGACCAGACAATCCAGTGAGCAACAACATGAGCATCGATCTACACAATTGGGATATGATGACACGTGTCAACCAAGTTAGAGTCTGAACACCAGATCCTGTTAGTCGCCTCTTATGACAAGCATGGGTTACTGATCAATCGATACCCGACCGTGTCATACCAAAAGACGCTAAAATATGGTACTTGTTGGTCCCTGCCTGGCGCTCGGCATTAATGGGTACAACAAGGACTGGTCGGCTCGGAGTCAGTATAATGTGTCTGAGTGGGGTATTCATGCTTCACTGCGGCATGGTATCTCAGTGGGCTAGCACTATAAAACCAGCTTCAGTCTGGGCTAGTACAAGCAGCCGCATATACACATACACATACACGCATGCACATCGTCATATGAGCAAAATATTCTCAAGCACAACGTTAAACTCAATTTCACCTCACCTACCTGAAGATCAATTCTAACCCAGATCTTCACGGGTCTTGTACATATCTGATCATGAGCAAAGTTTTGTGATACTCGTGAGCAAGGTATCATGATACATATAGGATTACACATCTGGTATGTCATTCCAGCCCTAGTTTTTATTGTCATCAGTACTTATGCGCCCCTTTGCTTGTTCCACCCAGTCAGCCATAGTAATGGTCATTTAAAGATTTGAGATGGAATTGGTCTTCAACAACCCATGCTTGTCATAAGAGGTGACTGACAGGATCGGGTGGTCAGGCTCGCTGACCTGGTTGAAACATGACCAATTGTATCCCAATTGTTTAGGTAGAAGCTCATGCTGCTGATCAATTGATTGTCTGGTCCAGATTCACTATATTTACAGACTTCACCATATTGCTGAGTGTGGCATAAAACAGCAAATTGTCATTATGAGTGAGTTTAGTTTTATGCCGCACTCAGCAATATTCCAACTAATAGTATATGGCGGCGGTCTGTAAATAATCGAATCTGGACCAGACAATCCAGTGATCAACAACATGAGCAATTGGGAACCGATGACATGTGTCAACCAAGCCACCGAGCCTGACCACCCAATCCCGTTAGTCGCCTCTTTCGACAAGCATGGGTTACTGAATGTTCATTGTAACCCGGACCTTCAGTAACTGAGACAACTAAGGACACCTACTCATCTTAATATGCAGGATTTGAGATATTTCATGTCCATGTGTGTCCTGATGATACTTAGACTTTGTAATTGATTAATATTTTTGGCTTACCAATGTTGTTAGTATCTTTGAAATGATATACCTGTAACATGAACCCAAACAGAAGTAATGTCTTTCATCAAAAGTCATTTCATCTGCAAATAATAACTTTGTAGATGCTTCAAAAGCACAATAATGTAATCAGAGGAACATCAATTGTTATCTTCCCTATAAAGACACATTCAAAAGGAAGCAAGACCGTTTTCAAATGCAGACTTCAATTTCCTTTTTATTTTACCAGGATTTTGAAAATCTTCTAAGAAATCACACGACACAGAATGCTGATCTATAGGCTTTTATAACACCTTAATTAGTAGAATGGAATTATGATAAACAAATAACACACTCCAAATACAGGAAACTATGTTTGTAATGAGCTTGCTTATAATGAACTTATGGCTGAAACAAACTGTTTCTTCTGTGCCCTCTATGAATACATAATCTCTCCATTGTCTTTAGCTGAAAGTCCCCCGCCGTGATATTGATGGAACATTGCTATAAAACAATTGATATAAAACCATACTCACTCACTTAAGTTGAAATGCGTACAGCAAACTATGGTTACTACACAGTGTTTGACCTTCACCCTGAAAACTGCAGTCCCTAAGGACCTAGAACCATAAAAAGTTTGTGGGTCCTGATCAGAATGTGCAGGCCCTATCAGAAAGATCTAAGAAGCCAACAGAACTAATCTCGTAAAAATATACCTTTTGAGTAATATAATAATTGGCTACAATCATGATGGTGCCCTAGTTACCTCCTTCATGATCAAACATATCCATTGTAACATTGTTCCATCATTCCTGTTCATCAATATTCCCCATCCACATAAATATTATGAAGCAGTGAAATAGTTTCTTACTTTAGTCTGATAAAACAGATCAGGATGTTGACAATCGCGAGAAGGAAAAACAGCCACAGATGCTTGAAACAAAATTGGATTTTGACAGTTGCTCTGTAAAAAGATTAAAACTTTGCCTTGTCAAACAATATAAAACAAATAGATGCTTTCTTTGTGCATCCCTGTTCGAATCTGAAATTGAATTATTTATATTGTCAGCAGCCAATAGATGTAAAAAAATATGAAAAAAGGAGGGCAAGCAACATTTGACATCTTAACAGCTGTTTTTGTTGCCTTTTTCATATTTCATCAATCCAACATAGTACTGATAGGCAAAGTTAGATAAGTTGTATGGGTCACAAGCTGATGATTCAAATCTTGGAATATGTAATCTGAAAACTAACAGTCAGGTCTAATTAAGTTAGATCAAACAAAATCCAACAGAAATATTTACCTCTTGAACTAGGTAACAACAGGCACCTAATCGCCAGCAAAGTCAGCGATTTAACCCACTCAGCCACCACACTTTCCACAAACTGAGAAAGTGTAATCCCAATATAATATATATGTTACATTTGATCACTTTCTAAATGGCACTGTGTATTCAGATTTATTTTTAAGTATTCGTTTGATTAAAAAGAAAGCACACACAAGGAAATCAGGAGTCACGGAAATATGTCAGAATGTCCACTGGTCAAGACATCACGAGTGGACATTAATCATAGAATAAAAATTTGAAGATGATTGACAGCTCATCAAATTAGCTATTGTTTCCCATCGTACATTAAGCCGCGTACATGTCAATCAATCAAAACGTGAGACTTGCTAGCACACAGGGGTCAAAGGTCAGAGAAGCCGGGCACGAACATCTGTCTGTGTTAATACTGGGTTGCAGATCTGATGAGGAAGAGAAAATAAGGAAATATAAACACTGATTGGTTTCACAGTTTTATAGCCACTCTTATTAGACCTGGGTAATCACAGTATGACAAGATTTAGTCATTGTTGGAATATGATTAGGTGTAATCCCAAGCTTTGATTCGGATTATTCTAGAATTCTAAAGAAGCAATGATGTGAAGAAATTGTGAATTGTAGACTTCTTGACTGGTGAATGGAATAATTGTGTAGTGTTTGTAGAGATTGAGATCACAGCTTTTGTGTTTTTGTTTTTAAGGCAGACCAGTAAATTTTTAGATTTTACAAACAAGCTTATGCTACATTTTTAAGAACTAAAACAACCCTGATTAAAAAAAAATCATGTAATTTATTTTGTTTTTTGTTGTATTTTATCAAACCTCTTTTTGGAATCTTTGTTAGGATATGAATCTCAAATCAACCCTATCAGTATTATTTATTCTCTTTGTTTAACAGAGGGAATCCATGAAGGAAGTAATTAAATCTTTGTCTCATCTAATTGTGAATGACATAGTTTTTAGGTCATGATGAATTAAAGCTGAAGGATGCGTTTGCAGGCATTGTTAAATTTCTGGAAGAATATATAATTTCAGAAGTGGTCCATATTTTATTCCAGTTTGTCTTCTATGAACCTGATACTGGTTTAATAATAAGAACAGTTAAGAATATTTTGCAATGACAATAGTGCTGAAATTTGATTGATCGTTCGGAAAGGCCTATCTGAATGGACAGAATCAATTAAAGTTGTGCTGGAGCAGTATAAGCTCCCATGCCTTGGAAACTGCTGGCGTGCACTGTAAATGGTGCGTTCACTAGGCGGTTGTGAAATCACATTAACGCCAGGTTTTCAACGATAATTGGGTTGTTATATCGTACTTAGACAACAGGTCCAGCCCCTAACATCCCATGCAAATGGAACTTTATTGTTATTTCTTTTCCAAGAATTGATTGTTTCTGTGCCATGGTTTTAAGGGTAGGGCCAGAAAGGGGTATTCAGTTTTACCTTGTAGTCTTTGAACGTGTTGCGCGTATGGTCATGGCTAATTGATTTAATTAGAGAATGCAGAGAATTTTTTTTTTTTTCAGCGAGACTGGATTTCCCCATGTTGGACTGTAATTTCACTCATAGATCAATTTCACCTCAATCTAGAATTAACATCATTTGAGTTTTATCCACACTTTTTATGACTTGGAATGTGTAATTACGGAGATCAAGTTACAACTTGATTTAAATGAGATCATTTTCCTGCAATGACGAAACGTGAATGTATTTCATGACAAACTAGTTCTGATGTATTCAGAGTATAAATGCATTTGTCATTGGATGTGTGAATGAAATGTGGGTTATTTCAGAATTCATGCGATATTTTATGATGTAGCCGATGTGATTGTTTTGTGTTTTAAGATACATTTTCCTGACTATTACCTTTTGGTAATGGCTCCAAGTGTTCTAAATGGTCCATTTTTTAAAACTTCTTTGAGAGGAATTTAGAAGTTGGAGCAGTAATTGTTTTTAAATTTGACATTGATTCCAAAACTAAGATTATCTTCATATTGTTCAATGACCTGACAAGGTTGAAATTTAGCTCTGTTCTCTCTCTTGCACATGTTTAAATGAATTATGTTAGATGCTTGATTGGCATTTTAGAAGATGCTATTTGATGAACATAGAG